CCAGGGAATGAACCATAGTAAGATGAAGGATGGCTTGGGTCACACCTTTCTTTTGTAAGGTGGGAGGACAGACTGAAACTGCTTTTTCAAGAAGGTGAGTTTTAGGAGAGAATACATCAGATGAGGAATAGCAAATTGATTCCCTTGAAACACTGCTTCCCCCATACTCCTTAGAAAATGTATACATTCTCCACTTTGAAAACTGCTGAAATGTATTATAGTATCTCCTCATCCCTTCAGTCCTCATTGATTGCCCCGTCACTGAATTCCTACAGCTCTTACGGTCTATTCTTCAACATTTAGGAATCAATTTCTCTTTAAGTGACTGTAAAGAAATCAGTGTAATTTTCATGTGTAGTTGCTGGAATCAATCTCATTTTATATTACACTCATACCTCATGCCAGGAATGATGGCAGTTCAGGGAAAGCGGGTAACGTGAACTGGAGGCAGTAATGGGACCTGTTTTGGACCTTCAATAATGAGAATTTTGATAAGAACAAAGGGAGAAATGCATTCTGGGGAAGAGCATGTGTCTATTAGCATAGAAATTCAGCTGCTGTAACCAAGATTCAGATTCACAGCAACTGCTTAAACAAGCTCTCTCATTTCTGAGCATGCGTAGTCCAGAGGTGAGAGGCAGCTCCGTGGTATTAAGAACACAGGTTTCTTCTCTTTTGCTCTGTCACCTGCTAAAGGTATAGGCCTTGTCCTCATGGCCAAAAGTGGTTGACATCTTCTGGGTCTGTATTCTAGCTGGTGAGAAGGGAGAAAATGAACAAGAGAACACATCTTTTTCTTTTAAAGGCACAATCCATGTGTTTTACATGTCACTTTCACTCACATTCCACTGGCTAGAGCTTAGTTACACAGCCAATGTTAGCTGCAGGAGAAGCCGGGGAAAATACGGGCTTTGGCTGGGAAGCCATGTGTCCAAGCAAAAACTTGGGGTTTCTATTACTAAAGAAAATAAATAAGACTTGATATTAAGACAACTAATGGTCTCACAGAGATGTAGAAAAAATGACACGAGATAGGAGAACGTGAAAAACAATTGTGTGGGAATATAAGAAAATAAGACTACAGCATCTGACTGAGGAGTTGCAAGGGGCAGGAAGCTATTGAGGGTTTAGAAAGAATATCACCAAGAAATTTGTTACTTTGCTTACTAATTTGTTTTTCAGGAAGGTTTAGGGCTGGTAAGATGTAGGACAGTGTGTATGGATATGTGTATAGATGTGTTGAAGGGGGTGTATCACATATTCAGGATAGGTTAGGTCCTGGCTATTCAAAGTGTAGTCCATGGTCTAGCAGCACCTGCATCACCTGGGAGCTTCACAGAAATGCAAAATCTCAGGTCCTGCTCAGACCTGTAGAATTATAATCTGCATTTTAGCAAATTATTCAGGTAATATTTAATATCACATTAAAGTCTGAGAAACACTGGCTAGATTCTACTGTGGTAAGGAATAATCCTCAAAATTCTGTATCTTAACAAAGATTTATTTCTCATGGATACTGAAAGTCCATCTGGGAGCAAGGTGGGGACTCTGCTTAATGTCATCCTCACCAGGGCCCCAAGCTGACAATGCCTCCATCTGAACATTCACTAGTCATGTGGCAGGGTAAGAATGCGTGCCTCTTGTCCTCCCCTCATGTTTCATGGCCAAAGCAAATCCTATGGCCATACAAGGAGATGGAAAGAACATCCTACCATGTATCTGGAAAGAGGGGAACCAAAATACCGGTGAAGGTAGGGGATCCTGAGTCAGGGAGGCCTTTCAAGAGGTTATTACAATACAGACATAAAGTGATCAAAATCAGGGAAAGTATATCAATGGGAAGGAAAAGGAGAGCATGAACAAAAGAAACATTTCAGAATAATAATGATTCTGAATGGGTAGTCAAGGAAGACTCAAGAAAGGAAACTGGCCAGCTATGGTGGCTCACACCAGTAATCCTGGCACTTTCAGAGGCTGAGGTGGGAAGATCACTTGAGGCCAGGAGTTTGAGACCAGCCTGGGCAACACAGTGAGGCGCCCATATCTACAAAAAATAAAAAAAATGTTAGCCAGGCATGGTGGCATGTGCCTGTGGTACCCTGTGATCCTACTGGGGAGGCTGAGAAGGGAGGATTGCTTGAGCCTACGAGTTCAAGGCTGCACTGAGCTATGATTGTACCACTGTACTCCAGCCTGAGACCAAGTGAGATCCTGTCTCTAAAAAAAAAAAAAAGGAAACCAAGGAAGACTTTAGAACAGGGGTCCTCAAACTTTTTAAACAGGGGGCCAGTTCACTGTCCCTCAGATGGTTGGAGGGCCGTTGGATAGTGCAGCGCACATTCGACACATGCACACTGTGGGCCCAGGACCAGTCGGCTGCTAGGCAGGACAGGCAGCAGGGGCAAAAACACCCGGTGGGCCGGATAAATGTCCTCAGCAGGCCGCATGTGACCCAAGCGCCATAGTTTGAGAACGCCTGCTTTAGAGTCTCATTGACTGGGCAAATAGTAAATACTTTTGTAGAAAAGGAAAATTTTGGAGGAATTGGCTGGGGTGGGAAATGGAGAGGCTGAGTTTGGAATGGACATGAAATTAAGGTAGAAAGTCAGAAATTTAGGTAGATGTTCTCACTTTAGGATTATCCTACCTACTGTTTGGGTTCTTCTGTTGGAATGCTCTTTTCCATGTCTATCATGACTGGCTCTTGCCTGTCATTCAGAACTTAGCGTAAGTGTCCTCTCAGAAAGGCCTTCCCTAGTCATACAAATGTTAACTACTTAGTTACACTGTATCTCACTGCCTGCTATCAATTATCAGCATGGCACCTAAAGCTATCTGGTATTTTTCTTGTTTTTTGTCCCCCAACCCTGCCTCCTGCCACATGACTAGCGAATATTTGGACTGAGGCTCTGTCAGCCTGGGTCCCTTACATTAAAAAGCAAGCTTCATCAAAGCATGGACTCTGTCCTGTAACCCCAGGTGAAAGTATACAATTATTACTCAGTAAGTATTTACTAAATGAATGTTCCTATGGAAATTTCAGTTGAAAGTATGCAACAAAGGAAACAGTGAAGGGCTCCAATGAGGACAACAGGTTCGGAATGGCAAAGTTTCCAAACTTAAGGACGACCCAGAAACATCAGCCCTTTAGGAGTGGTCCACCTCAAGACTAGAGAAATGTAAGAGACTGAGGATTCTAAAAGGTCGAACAGTGTGGTTCCTAAAGCTAGGAAAAAGTTTCAGTGAGGGATGGGTCAATGAGAGGCATGTATTATTTCAGTTAAGAAAAAGAATAAGAAAAAGACCATTGGATTTGGAAAGGTCATTTGTGATAACTAAATAAAGGTGTAAATGCGTTTTACACCTTGGGGTGTAAAATGTAGGGTTTAAGGAGAGAAAGGACATAGAGGTATAGTCATTACTGGAGTAATTTGGCAGTAAAGGGAATTGTTAATAGTACTCTAGCAGGATTGAATGGGTTTCTTTTTGTGAGACCTATTCATTTCTCAAGGGAAACAAGCTAACAAAGAGTGAATACTGAACATGCTGTAGGGGAGGGGTTCTTAACCTGAGGTTAATGGACCCCTAGAGAGTCCACAAGTCATGTGCAGGGACTCTGAAACTCAGAAATGATATGCAAAATTTTGTGTGTGCATGGGGGACAGAAGGTGGGAAGAGAAAAAAATTTGTGGCTTTATCATTTTCCAAAAGGTCGTGGCCCAAAGGTAAATAACCATTGCTGAAGAAGAAGAGAATAGATGAATTAAAGAAAGAAAAAAAAAAAGGCCCAGAGAGAAGGGCTAAGCTTTACAGAGAAAAAGGAAAACCTCTTCCCCATCTAAGGAAAAGCTATACACAGATTTAAAAAAGTCCATAATTGCATCATCATCTCAGTAAACCAGGTAGTAAAGACAGAGCTGGAAACAGCAGGGAGGCTTGTGCAAACACACTCCAGAGAAAAGATCCTCAAGAAGCCAGGAAGTCGGAGTGGAAAAGGAGCTCGCGTTCCTCAGCAGAGGCTGAGCTCTAGCAGTGCTTCCGGGCATCCCCGCGCAGTGCCGTCTCCTGGGCGACGTCTCGGCCCTGGAGGTGCCTGAAGGCTGGGAATCACGGTCACTGCTCTACAACAAGGAGCACACCTCTAAAGACTACTGTTGACCCGACTGGGAAGGAGAGCGGTCTTATCACAAAGGGCAATCATCACCAGGCAGTGGGGAACATCAGCAAGTCAGCTCAGGGTCAGGATGCTGATGTTTCAGAGTCAGGACAAGCTGTACGTCCGAGCTTCCCGATAGCTGCTGTACTTTCCCTGCTGCCTTCGGGACGCTGCCTCCAGTCTGACCTCTCCACCGGTCGTCAGCTCTGAATCATCTCACTGTATTTCGACATCTCCCTTCCCCGCTCCCAGCTCTCGGCCTGGCGCTGAGCCCAGCCACAGGCGGGGCTGGAGAATTCATTCATTCAACCACTGCGGGGTCGACTGAGTGACTTCGGGTGCACCGCCCAGTGCCGGGCGCTGGGGCCTCAGGAGCACCAGGTCCTCCGGAGTCTGCTCCACCCCAGTCTAACGGGCCGCCCCGGTTCTCCCTGGCGGGCGGAGAGGCGACCCTGGCCCGCCTGTCGTAACAGCTTCCCGGACAGGCACTCGGGTGGTGCCAAGGGAAGACCGGCCCAGGCCGGTTCCGCCTCACGCCCGCTACGAGATCCCGCGGGAACAGAGGTCTCGGGGCCAAGGCTGCCAGTCCTCGAGCCGCGCATCTCAACATCTGGGGCGCACACTCGAGCGCGGGTCCTAACGGCGTCAGTCAGCGGTTTGACCTTGAAGGCCTGGCACCACCCCACCCCCATGCCATCCTGCCCGCAGCGCCCACAGCTCTGCAAGCGCTAGTCAGGGGCCCCAAATCGGCCCCTATCGTAACCCGGCGCCTCGCTCTCTTTCTGTGGCCAATCAGAGACCGACGTGGTGCGGGCCAATGGCCGCGGTCAAGGTATCAAGAGTCGTTGAGCCTATCAAAGTTCAGCCTTAAGTTTCTCCCGCCCTCCTAAAAAGTCGGAGGCGGGTTGATCTTACATGCCGGCCAATCAGTGGCCAATAAACAAGAAGCTTCCAAGATCAAAGAGGAAGGGGTGGGATTTAGGCGATAGCAACGCCTCAGGGCGGAGGAATGACAGACAACTTCGCTAATACCACAAGCAAATTTTTCCTACGTAGGGAAAGGGGTGGAGCCAACTTGGCTTCTGGACCAATGGTTGGTCGAGGGGCGTGCCCGAGGAGCCAAGCGGGAGCCGGAGGCCCCGGGCTCTCTGGGCCGCGCCTGAGGCGGACACCACGGGGCCGGGGGGCGGCGGCAGCAGTGGCGGCGGCGGCGGGGGTGGGCGCCGCAGCTGGCCCGGGTGGATGGAGTTGGAGGGGCGGGGTGCTGGCGGTGTGGCGGGGGGGCCGGCGGCTGGGCCCGGGCGGAGCCCCGGGGAGTCAGCGCTGCTGGACGGGTGGCTGCAGCGGGGCGTGGGCCGGGGGGCCGGCGGCGGGGAGGCCGGGGCCTGCAGGCCCCCGGTGCGACAGGATCCGGACTCCGGCCCGGACTACGAGGCGTTGCCGGCTGGAGCCACTGTTACCACGTACATGGTGGCGGGCGCCGTGGCAGGGATCTTGGAGCATTGCGTGATGTATCCCATCGACTGCGTCAAGGTGAGAGCTGGACCGGGCTCCGAACCCGACCTGGGGCTGACCCGACCCCTGGGTCCTGTCCGGAGCCAGGATCCCGGTTGAGTCGGAGCCGACACGGGTTCTTTCCTAGCTTCTGCCACTACCACACGATTCGAACCGACACTCCATGCAAGCAAGGTCCCGGCTGGGAGTTGATCTCAGTTAGGAACCAGGATCTATTTCTAACTGTCAGTGATATCTGAATCGGGACTCAGGATCGAAAATCTGTCAGCCAAAGCCCTGGATCCCACCTGGGACTAAACAGGAATAGGGTGGGATGGGGTGTCCCAAAGCGCAGGTAAGTACTACTAAGTCGATGAAGGTGAAGCCAACAGGCATGAATCAGACTCTGAATGGGATCTTACTGCTTGATATGTTCTCTGGGTGAGTGCTTTTACAAGCTCCTGTGTCTTATAAGTGATGGGGCACGAACCTGAATCTGGGATCTCTCAGTTAGATAAAGAACTTCCGTATTATTAGTAAATCTGAACCCATGAGTAACTGGAAATCATTGTGCTGTCAGAATTCAGAGTTCCAGACTGGAAATAATATGGAGAAAGTGCATGTTCAGGAGAAGGTTTCGGTTTCTCTCGGAGGCAAGCATGATTCCCCACCTATTTCCTGAACATGAAAATTGAGCTGGGATTAGGATTGTGTAAGTGCGGGGAGAACATCAGCCCCCAAACAAGAAAGATGAAATTGATGGTGTATTTCTTTGGCTACCTGAAGTTGGCAAAAAGGAAGAAGTTTCCTAAAAGGGAAGTGTGCTGGTATTAGAAAGTAGATGTATGAAGAAAATGCAGTTAGATCTACATGAGGACATGATTTGTGTGAAAGCAAAACTAATTTCATTTCACAACCAAGCAGGATGATTAACGAATACAGAAGTCAGGACCTTCTAAAGAAAGCTGGGTGAAGAGGGGAGCAGATTATTGTTCTTTAGATTTGTTATTTTTGTACATTAGTAAAGGTGCCAATCACTAAAGGTGAAGCCTAAATTGAGGGAGAAGTAAACTAGAGGGGACTGTTGAAATAAATATAGTGACAGACTGGTGCCTCTGTTACATGTTAAGGGTAATAGTCACAGTATTCTGGCAGCTGCTTGATGTATACTTCCTCTTCAAATCTGGAACATGTTATGGATTCAAAAGAGAGAATCAGCTTGGGAAGTGCAAAGTAGTTCTCTTCTGCTTCCCCTTGACTCCAGTAGCATTTCATGTTTTCATTAGTAATGTGGATGAGGAAATGAGGAAAGTGCTCATTAAGCTTTGTGAATGGCATTGAGTTGGCAGGAATATTTTAGCATATTACAAGGTAACTACTAACAAGGGCCATATCCACTGAAAATGTGGTAAATGCACTTGACTGAAGTGGACATTAGAATTTTAGTTGCCCTTATCTATTGGGAAAATAGAAATAAACAGTAAAATCCATGAGAGAAAAGTAACGATATTGAAATGTAAAATGAATTAGTACAAATAAAAAAGATGCAATGTTATGTATAGACTCTAAGTTGAATGACTTGGGAGTTAATGCTGTAAATCCAAAAGTTAATATGATCTAGCTGCAAAGTAACCTCACTAAGACTGTGAGTATAGTACAGGGTCTAGGGTGCTGTGTTTCAGGATGAGTATCAAATGAAGCAGATCAGGGAAAGCAGTGAAAACTATTTAATTGCTTGACTAATACAATGTAATAATGTGACTGATTTAGAAATATTACTACAACTTTTCAGTTTAACCACTGGTCTCATTACAACATAATGGGAGGCCGTCTCCCTACTCTGTATATTTACATAATGCTATTGTTGCTGTTAATATTTTATAAGTTCCTGTAGAGATGCTTCTAGAATATTTGGGTGCATATCCTTAATTGGGAAAAATCTTTGTCCTGTGACAAAATGGAATTGATTTTGTAGTAACAGATCACTGCGAATCAAATAAGGCGAATAAAGTGAGAGATCAATTGGGTAATAATGCTTGGGGTCAGAGATAACAGTAGGACTAGAAAGCAAGGAGACTGATTTACTCCTAAGGATTATAAACTCATTGAGGAAACAATTCTCAAAGAGAAAAGTTCCAGAAATGTTTTGCACAAGCACAGCATTGCTAGAATAAATCACTTCTAGCCTTCCAAGGTAACTATTTTAAAGAACAGTTTTTATTCATTTACATATGAGCTTTGGAAGTTTTGTTTTTAAAAAATTAGTCATACAACATTACGGTCATGCCAAAAAGCCTTACATTAAGGAAATAATTATTTGATCTGAAGGAAAAATAAATGCTCAGGAGTTTTCAAAAATATAAAAGCTTATTTTAAAAGAATAATTTTCATTTGCCATTAATGCTGGGATTTTAGAGGGAGGCACTCGGTATGACTTAGTGTCAAAAAGTATGTTAAATGTTTTTGTGCAGGCATGAAAGTAAAATTCAAATCCCTTCCTTTAAAAAGGGCTTTCCAGTTTATTTGTCCCCTGACAGCTATCCTTCTTTAATAAATGGATGGTGTAGGGGAAAAGCAGCCCAACCTTATTCTAAGATTGGAGGGAGAGGTATCCCAGTTGGATCCTAAAGGGCAACCACAATGTTTGCAAATGGAAGCTGACATTGCCTCTTGGCACGCAAGTCTATCCATCCCCAGCCACTTATCGGGTCAAGTTGACTTAAAATATCCTTGGGAGGGACCATGGGAAGTCAGCATAGCCTTGCTAGGCCATGGTTATTTAGTCAGCTATTTCCATGGTCAAAATAGGGAGTCTTGGGAGCCCAGATAAATCCCAGTTTTATTTTCTGGGCTTCAGAGGCAAGCACCAGTCTTTATAGGGACAGGTTCTGCAAACCAAAGCAGTAAGAACCCTTCTCAAAATCATGTGGCTAAATACCCACCTGTCACCAAGGTGCTGTTTTTGGCTCTTTAGTGGTGAGACAAATATCTACTTACATAATGAATTAAAATAGATCTTTCCTTTTTAATTTCCAGTTGGCACAGGAAGTAAATCTTTTTCAAACTCCACATGTAAATGGTTATCTATACACATTCACCTATGAAAGGTTAGGAAATAGAAACGCTAGCTGATTTGATTTTCTTGCATCTAGTAATGATTACAGTTATTCAATAAATGCTAATTGTTATTGTGTGCCAAGCACTATCTGAAGTGCCTTATATACATTTATTCATTTACTCCTTGAAACAACTTCATAAAGTAGACACGATTTTCATTATTTTACAGATGAAGAAAGGAGACTTAAAGAGCAGTTAAGTAACTTATCCAAGGTCACAGAATTTAAGTGGCAGAGTCATGATTTGAACCCATTTTGTCTGACTCCTAGGCCTTCCACATACTCTCCCAAAAGCAGATACCAAGAACCAGGCGAGGCACAGAATTTCACAATAGAGCTTGTCCCTTAACAGATGACCTTCAGAACAATAGCTAAACATATAAATTGTTATAACCACAGAGAAACTTTAAAATGAAAATAAAAAATACAAAATTAACCCTGAGTTAGTAGTGGCTAAGGACCAGTCAGTTGCCCGTGCATATTTGTGAAATGACTTATACAAGAGACAATGCTGCCATCATCTGTAAATTCTTAGGTATGAACAAATATATCTTAGAATCATTTGAATACAATAAAAAGCTTTATATTTATAGCACTTTATAAATTACCAACAGCTTTTACATGCCTTGTCTCTATCTCTTTAAATCCCCACAACAACCCTCTGAGCCAGCCATTCTTGTCCTCATGTTATAGATGACAACTTCGAAGCTCAGAGAGCTGGGGCTCAAACTCAGACTTTTTGACTCAAATGTGGCTTGTCTTACACCAAACCACCTACTTCCCTACAAGTTTGTTTGGCTTTTCTTCAAAGCCAGGCAGAGATTTTTCATACTTAAGGCTATTCATAAATTCTTAGAGATTTCATCTTTCCACAAAAGGTAGATTTATTGGCCCACACGTTTGGGGAGCCATATTCATTTGTTTGACATAGGTTATACCCAGGTCTTCTCTATAACGGTATATTTTCATTAAGTTAGAATTGTTCAGTTAGATTTAGATGTGTGTGTAAAATGTGCAAAGTAGCTTACCAGTTTTCTTTTACGGATGAAGAGTTCCAAGCTTCTGAGGCCAGACCTTTCAAGACTGGTTGAAAATATACCATTGACTCCTGCAGAGCAATGCAGTTTCAAAACATTCCCCCTATACAAGGTCAGTTTTGGACAAATGTAGGAAACACAATTGTTAAGCCACCAGGCCCAGTTTATCTTTGTTTATTACTAGCTATAGCTAGCATAGACTCATAGTCTCTATAAACAACTCCTCTGATGGATTTTATAACCCTGGGGTGATGTGAAAGATCAATAAGCACACTCTTTATTGGAAATACATGGGATTTGTTTTTTGAGGGGGGAGAAGTGGAAAAGAATGTGTCAAATTGTGATAAGTGATACTGTGTGCAGTATTTCTGATTGAACTTCCAATAATTAACCTGTTAGGCTTCCAGTTTTTTGTTAGTAGCAGGCAGAAGAAAATACCTTTAGAAGAATGTGGATTGCTTGTAGCAAACTTGGACCTATTAATCTGGTTGGTTTCTTTTCTCCCATGCTCTTGAGAAAAGGTACTATTCTTGGATTCCATTTGGCCAGCAGGAAGGTTCAAGCTTTTAAATCCAAACTGAATCTAGTGATTGGAATGAAGCAGGAATTTAAACTGGGCATCAGTTGTCCCCTATTGGCTCACCAGTGACTGTACTTGTCATAGTTATGTGATAAAAGATTCATTCATTCTTTCATTCAACAACCATCTTAGGTACCAATTGTGTGCTGGGCACTAGACATTAATTTTTTTTTTTTTTTTTTATTCTTTCTCCACACATTTGATTGTATAATTTTTTTTTTAGACATTTATTTTGTTTTAACCATCAGTCTCCATGCTACTTTAACCTTAAAATGGGTCAGTAGAAGAGAGATTTTTCTGGGGAGACACACTCTTCAGAAAAGACGTGGTATTTCAAAAAGATTAATGTCCCAACTTTTAATAAGGCTTTGTTCAGGAACATCATACAATGTGTCTACCGTACACTTTCATGCAATTATTCACTCCTACAGAGATTCCAAGGTTTATGTTTCACTGAGACTGATTTTATTTGCTGATGCCAATTTTGGGATTTGGTGAATTTAGATTAGAAATCTGGAAGGCCCTTCAGTTTTAGAGACTAGGTTGGTTTCCAACTAGACACTCCCTACCTTCACAGTTTCAGGGTAAACTTTCTTTCCCAGGAAATAAAAGCAGCATCTATTAGGAATGCTTCTTCTGCCAAGATTCTTGGTGTAGACCCAGTTGCCAGTGCCAAATTATCTGAAAAAGTACCAAAAGATGAGCCATCATCTCATTAGTCAGCGTAGAGTGTGGTTAGGAAGCAGGGCCAGGATCAATCTTAGAAGTAAAGCATAAAGTACATTATAGACAGTAAATCCTTGAATTTACCGTTGAATTTAGAATCCATTTGTAAAGAACTCTTAGCTTGAGTGTGTTAACGCATGAAAGCAACTTCTCCTGAAACACGGGCTTAATATTTGTTGCTGTGGCTATGAATTTTTTTGGAGTTCCAGGACACTTACCAAGTATTGATATTCTCAGGGAAAATAATGGTGTTGCACTCTTAGAGTCATTGATGACTAGAAAAGGAAAGGTCCAGGCCTTAGAAAGAGTGGCTTTAGATTTGGAAAGAAGTGAAGTTGGCCTGCATGTGTCCCTCTCAGAGATTGGCACGGATCCATGTAGAAGGTCTGCCCTGTGCCCAAAGCCTGAGTGTAGAAGTGGGGTGAGAAGTTGGCATCGCTGACATTGTGCTTCTCCTTGCTGTAATTTCAGACCCGGATGCAGAGTCTACAGCCTGACCCAGCGGCCCGCTATCGCAACGTGTTGGAGGCCCTCTGGAGGATTATAAGAACGGAGGGCCTATGGAGGCCCATGCGGGGGCTGAACGTCACAGCAACGGGCGCAGGCCCTGCCCACGCCCTTTATTTTGCCTGCTACGAAAAGTTAAAAAAGACACTGAGTGATGTAATCCACCCTGGGGGCAATAGCCATATTGCCAATGGTATTGAGCCTTCCTGTGCTGGTTCCCCCACTTTCCCGACTCTGGGCTTTGCTGCTGTCAGTGCTTTCCAGTTTCAGCATGGTTTGGAGCTGAAGCTCTGGGCTGGGGTAGGCCAGATTGTAAGGGAGGGACTTCCAAACCTGATGTTCTCAGACAACGAGCCGCTTCAACCCCACCTCTCCTTTGGGGCACCTCAACAAAGGGTTACGGTGTCCTCCCTTACCTACCAGCTTGACTTTATCCTCTCATCTTCTCCCTGGCATCAACTTCTAATGCCCTGGTAATGCGGAGACACACACGAACTACCCCCTTGTATATATCTTGATAGTCGGGTGGTGTCCTGCCCCCAGGGCAGGAGTGGAGGTGACCCAGCTGCCCAAGGAAGACACTAATGAAGCTCCAGCTCTTCGCCTTACCTTTGCAGGATCCCAACTGACCAGAGGCAGTTTGTGTGGTTGAGAACATGACAGAGCCTTGACAAGTGAATGGGGGTGGGGCCAAGGAGCTGTGTGGAGAAACCAGAAGGTTGGAGGCTGTGTGGAAGTAAGGGGAAGGATGGCAGCTGAGGGGTTCAGGATTGTGTGGAAACCAAGTTGGGTGTGGAGAGGGTGAGGGATAGAGTAGTTCAGAACCTGAAGGAAAGATCTAGATGGACAAATGTTAGATTTGGAGACTGGAGTTGGGCAGCAGGAGGAAGGCAGGATTCTGTGGTGGAGATCTGACCACCTGGCCCTCGTGCTCTCCTTCCACTGGCGGCGGCTGATGTGCTGGGGTCCCTTGGCAGCAGCGTATCTGCTTCCTGTCTGGGGCATGAGCTACGTTTATCCAAGAACCATCTTTATTGATAAAATCTGGGTTTTTTTGACTCCTCCCAGCCTTCCTAACAAATATGTGGAATGTACTTTGGTGACTTTACTAAGTTGGTGGGAACAAATATCTTCATTTCTTGAACAGGGGTTTAGTAGCAGTGGGTCCCCATCTTTTGGCCTGGCTCTTAACATTCCTTTTCCCTGTGGTTTAGCGCAGTCACTTCCCTTCACTCGGGGGGTTTTAGTGAATTGGTCACCCTCTCTTGGCTTTACATGTGGCAGTTGTTTTCTCATTTGCAGGTGCAGCTGGGTGTGTGGCAACATTACTTCACGATGCAGCCATGAATCCAGCGGAAGGTAATGATTCCTCAGACTATCCCTCTGTGGCACTGCACCTGCATCTCTGGGCTTTTCCTTTATTTCTGGTTTGCAGAAGAAAGGTAGCACATCAGTTTTGGTGGGAAATCTTGTTACCTTGTTTTACCACTAGAGGGCGCTCCCTCCATCTTTTCAGTACTTGGGGGAACCCCTTGGACAGGAAACCTATTAATTGAGATTTAGTTCATCCTTGAGGCTTCCCTGGAATAAGACATGGCTCTGCCTGGCCTATTCCTGGGCCTTCTTGGAAATTCCCTTTGTAGTGGGTTTTATCAGTCCTGAAAGTTTAGCAGATTTTCATTTTTCTTTGAAGAGGTAAAGATAGATTTTGACATTTAAATATATTGCCTTTCTTACTGGAACACAGAGCTCACACCATGCTATCTACTTGAGGGAGTAGGTTATGTTCAGGAACTAAAGCCAGACTCTTTCTGGCTAAGAATGTTGTTTTCATTTTGGCAACATTTCTCTTTCCTCCCCTCTGGGAGGTAACCATCTCATATCTTAGTAGGTAGGTGTTCTTAGTAACTGAGGATTGTGATTGTTAGGGCTACATGTTCATTATTATGTGCACTGTCACTGAGTCATTTCTTGGGAGTTGTGAAAGGATGATAATAATAAATAGGTACTTATTTCAAGGAGTTACTAAACCATAGGTATATATTAACTGGCTGGTTTTAAAGAAATCCTACTGGAAGCAAGTCTGTTATTTTTTGACTCTTTCCAACCCTCTGCCTACTCCTTACCTGTAAAAGGGAAACATTAACTTATCAGGTTAACTGGCAGCTCACTCATACTTTTTTCTCTCCATTCCATTGGCTGATCCGCTGACTTGTAACTCTGAATCTGGACACTCTCCATCACTGGTTGGTTGCTGTCACCGGTTGGTTGCTGTCACCATTTACTTCCTCCTCACTGATGGCACTACCAGTGGTCAAGCAGAGGATGCAGATGTATAACTCACCATACCACCGGGTGACAGACTGTGTACGGGCAGTGTGGCAAAATGAAGGGGCCGGGGCCTTTTACCGCAGCTACACCACCCAGCTAACCATGAACGTTCCTTTCCAAGCCATTCACTTCATGACCTATGAATTCCTGCAGGAGCACTTTAACCCCCAGAGACGGTACAACCCCAGCTCCCACGTCCTCTCCGGAGCCTGTGCAGGAGCTGTAGCTGCCGCTGCCACAACCCCACTGGACGTTTGCAAAACACTGCTCAACACCCAGGAATCCTTGGCTTTGAACTCAAACATTACAGGACACATCACAGGCATGGCTAGTGCTTTCAGGACGGTATATCAAGTAGGTGGGGTGACCGCCTACTTCCGAGGGGTGCAGGCTAGAGTAATTTACCAGATCCCCTCCACAGCCATCGCGTGGTCTGTGTATGAGTTCTTCAAATACCTAATCACTAAACGGCAAGAAGAGTGGAGGGCAGGCAAGTGAAGAAGCACTGAATGAAGAAGCCAGGGGCTCGGATAACACTGCTGCGTCCTGCCCACTCCAGCCACGTTCTGTCTCCTGGCCTGCTCCAGCTTTGAGTGGAGTTGGAAGAAAGGTTGGAAGTGAAGTTGGAAGGAGGGCTCGCCTCAGGCTGCTGGTGTTTTGGCTAACACCGGTTCCTGCCAACCTCTGTTGCAGCCACCTTTCCTTCCAGGCCCTAAGCAAGTGCAGCAAAGCGCACCACACACAGCACGTTTGACAACCTCTCTCCATCCTGGGCCTGAGGACCTGCTCTAGACTGTTATAGAGGGATAAGCAGCTCATTCCCCTGGTTCCTAATAAAAAGCCTTTAAATTAAATGGTTTCACTGGATTTATCTTGTTGAAGGGGAAGTGAAATGCTGTCAACCATTCTTGGTTTTCCTTTAAGTAGAAATCAAGGGACCCAAAGGGAAGGTTTATTGAGTATATCTGTAGTTTTTGTTTCTGCTGATTTTCATGATGATTTAAGACTTCAGGGGCTTATTTCTCTTGTTTTAGGAGTATGCCCCAAAGAATCTCCTTGATGGCTGGAACAATGGGCCTTTGACAGACACTAACTAAACAGGGCTCTTGGTTCCCAATCTCTTCCCTAGGCCTGTATCTGGCACAGAGAGGTAGATCTCTCTAATTCTCAGCACTGCCTGCAGCAGCAAGAGTTTGCACATGGCACTTTGTTCTTTAATATAGTTGTGAAACTAAAATTAGTGAAGCTGCAAGTTCTGGAGATTATGTAATAAACAGTAATACATTTAATTTGATTTTGAGGTTTTTATAAACTACTTCAGTGTATGTGATCTCATTTGGTTCTCAGAAAAACTGAAGTAGGCAGCACAGGTATCATCCTATTTCATAAGCAAGGAGCTCAGAGGGGCCATGACTTGTCCACGGCCTCACAATAAATGCACTACTGGGGCCCCAACCCAGATCTTTTGACCACAGAAGTGAGTCTAACTGTGGCTTCCTCCAGCCAGGAAGGGAGGGCAGGCATAGTCTCCAACCTGCTGCCAGCGAAGGAGCTCCCTACTGTGGAGGGCTCTGCGTGGAGACTTCCACCATGCCTTATTGGTCAGTTTCCCTTTTTTGGATATCACCAGTTATTAGTTCTTCAGTACGCAGAAGTGCCCCCCTGAAAGTTCCACCTCTCATTCTCCTTATGTCATCTGTCATTCATTCAGTAAATTGAGTGTCTCTGTCATGCACTGGTGTTGTGTTGGAGATACAATGATGAATAAAACAATTTTAGCCCATAAGGAATTTATTGCCTGGAGCAGAAGATACATGTAAATAGGCAAGTACAAGACAAAAGAAGAGAGATGATAGGGTAAGCCTAGCATACTCCTGGAGGACAGAGGATACCAGGTCTAGCCTTGGGTGACCAGGGTGGACTTCTGGAGGAAATGACATCTGAGGTGACACCTGGAAGGCAAATAAACCAACTAGGTGAAGAAGGGAGGGGAAATGTTCTATGCAAAGACCTGGAGGTGAGAGAATAAGCATTTGGGGTTCGGGGTGCAGGTAGCTGGGTAGGACTGAAACAACGTGGATGAGGCGTTGCCGCTGCCAAGCAGGGGCTGGCTCTTAAAAGCAATGTTAAGGAGTTTAGGGCAATGCAGAAACTATAGGGCTTTAAGCATAGGTGTGGTGTGATCAGATTCACTGAATTTAAACACTTCACTTAGCCTCTCTGGAGAAAGGATTAGAGAAGCAAGACTGGACAGGTAGGCGGTCTGGTTAGCAGGCTGCTGCGGTAATACAGGCAAGCACAGTGGTGGTCTGCAGCCATGTTAAGGTGGTAAAAGCAATAGGATTGGGTCACACAATAGATCCTGTCCTCCTTCCACCTGACAGCCCCCAAGTACCTATGGAGAATCATGTCTGAATGCACTTGAAAAAAACTGTCAAGAAACCAGAAGGGTCTCCTGTTCTAAGCCTCATTTAAACAGGCTATGCTGCCCCTTTGATTTAGTATGGAAAGGAGAGATGCTAATAATGTCAAGCAGTAGATCAGTGGGTTTGAATCGCCTATGGAGTAAAATAAGCATGATGATATCATTGCAGAGTTAATATCAGAGGGTTTGCTAGTAGAAATGTAAGCAAGTAGCTGCCTCCCTGTATGGACTAAGCAAGAGAACAAAGGGCTGGTCCTCCGGACCTGGTCCCTGCAGTTGGCTTTACAGAGCTACTGTCTGGCATGGTACCTGGCACACAGTAGGCACGATGGCTGTAAGGCTCAGTTTTCAAGAATAGGATATAGGGTAATTTCTGAAAGAATGGCAGACACTAAGACCACCTCAGCTCTAATGCTGTTCACAAATTATGAGAAAAGAATATAATGGTGATCTTCTATCCTTCAGTTGTGCTCTAGCTACTAAAGGACATTTATTTTGGAATTTGGACAGGACATTAGATTCTGCAGGTCTCTTGGGCCAGTCACTAGAGGAGACAGAGGCAGAATAATGTGATAGGGCTGAGCAGTCAGGAATGCCAGTGCCTGGATACCTGGGTCACTTCCATGGGGCTCACCATGCCCAGGAAACCTGTGGACGTTTGAGGGCTTCCCCAGGTCCAGAGTTTCTCTGGAAAGCCAGGTAATTTATGTGACTGACACCCCAAGGATCCAGTACCAAGCCACCATCAAGTGGCCAATTCCTGCACAGTGCTATGTGTCAGTGAAAATAAGAAAATAAGCCATAATCTGTCCAGAAAAAACTTTTCTTACTTGGAGAGACAAGACTAATATGAATGAAACAACCTTGCAATAACACAAGACATATATAGCCATGTACTGGACTATACAGAACCAACAAAAAGGTTTAGAGACAGAAAAGATAAGTGTAGGTCAGCATTTACAGAGAAGAGGGTGGCTTTGATGAATAGAATAAAACAATATTTTTATAGAAGCCAATAAAAGTTGAACCATGATAATTTTATAAAATTTAGAAAACATAGAGTGTGGTGGCTCACTCCTGTAATCCCAACACTTTGGGAGCCCAAGGTGGAAGGATCACTTGAGGCCAGGAGTTTGAGACCAGCCTGGGCAACATAATGAGGCCCTGTCTCAACAAAAAATTTAAAAATTAGCTGCGCATCACGCCATTGCACTCCAACTGGGTGACAGAGTGAGACACCACCTCAAAAATAAAAATATATAAAGTAAAATAAAATATAAAACTTAGAAAACATAGATAAAAAGAAAATACCTCCAATCCCATTAACCAGAGAATGATGCTTTGATCTATACATCATTTAGTGTTTTGTCTACACATAAATATTTTTTGTTAATTTTCAACAATGAGAACTCACTGTAACCAGCTTATTTCACATAACAATATGGTGTCCATCTTTCCATATCATTAAATGTTCTTCCATCACTTCAATGTAAATGGCCACTCATTTCATTATGTGAATGTACATTAATGGCTTATTCAATTGGTCCCGTGTTTCCTTTATAATAATGTATTATCAGAAACATTGCTGTGGGTAGGTAGAATCTGAACGACCAAAAGGAGAGTAGAGAGTTCAGAGTGGGGAGATGGTCTGGTGCCACCCCCTGGCAAACGCAGAAGATCCAGCCTGGAGACCAGGGAGCAGTGTAGGGGAAGAGGGGGTGAGGCTGGCCGTGAGACTGTCAGCATGGGGGTGGGGGTGGGGGCTTCTAAGAAGTCATCTTGCTCAGCATTCCCTCCTGGAGCTTGACCTCACTGCACAGCATCTCTGGGGCTCCCCAGCCCCTGCTCCTGTGTTCGGGGGCTCACTGCTGTGCAAGGCTGTCTGTGTCACTGCTGCAAAGCTCCATCTGTTAGAAAGTTCCTGTCTCTGGCTTCCCCTCTGGGATCACGTCACCCCCTACTTCTGCTGCCTTGGAACAAAGGCCAAGTTCTTCATCATGACCAACAGGGTTTTACCTAATTTGGCCCCTGCTTCTCTCTCCAACCCAAACCTGCCATGTGGAGATGAGGCATTAAACACGAATGCTTATTTTCTTCAAAATCTAAACTATTCCCTCTGCTGTCTTCATTCATTAATTTAGGAGGCTTGATAGGCAATATTCTGGCTAAACTATCAGAAATATCATGCCATTGGTGTTTAGACTGCATATGCAATATTTTGTTAGTTCCTGCTACCTTAGACTGGTGAGTGGAGAACAGGTTCTGTGGGAACTGCACACAGTAATCCATGCATTGTCAGAGCTCCATGAATACAACCTTGACACCATCACTACCGCTTCTGCCACCCACATTCACACACTGAAAGAAAGATTTCTACTTTGAGGCACTTAAGTCTCCATGTAATTTCCACCTGTGATGGCACCTCTGCCTGCTGGGGCAGCACAGAATCAGACTAACCCTTCTCTCTGACAGCCCTTCGAAAATATTAAGACAGCTGTCATGTCACCCAGGGAGGTGGTCAGAGTATAGAGAGCCTGAAAACTAGGCAGAGGACTTTGGCCTTGGCTCGGCAGCTACGGAGGAGCTCTTGTGGTTCTTGAGCGGGGAGGGACATGACTAAAGTAACGTCAGCAGCGCACATACAGGATGATGTAGGGAGGGCAGAGCTGGAGACAGCTAAGGGGCTGTTGTCATCATCTGGACAAGGATGAACCTGAGAAAATTGTTATAAGACAAAGAAAACATCTGATGATAGCTTAGACATTCATGTGGGAACATGTCCGACTTTGTTGTTTTTTTTTTAAGCCTTGCAGTTAATAGTTTATTAGTATCATCCAGAACTCAGATGTTCAGTATTCCTTCTGAAATTACATAAACAAATGCAAATGGCAAGAATCCAAGACAAAATTATATAACAAAACAGCACTCCATCACAAAAGCGTGTAAAATTACAAGAATGCTATTTTAAAATATTGGCACTTTTAAAAGAACAATAATCTCAAAAACCACAAAATTGCAAAATTGTTCCTTAAACTGCTAAGCAGACAAACAGAGCTCTCATAAATGAGTTTGGGTTTTGTAAAGAAAAATTAAATTCAAATAAATTGAATAATTTGTATTGAGATACAAAGTGGAGGTTTCTTCTTTCCTCACATCAATTTGATTCATAAAGGGGCAAACCACCATACAGGAAAATATAACCTTCTTTAAATGTGGTATCATTTTAAAGGCTCACCCAATTAATTAAAGATACTCTTAGTGGAGAATCTCAAGTTGCCTGAGCTGTGCATATTTAGATAAATGGGAAAAGACATTCATAGCCAGCACTTTCCTAGTCTTTGCTGGTACTAACATCAACAAAACATGTTGCCAAAATATGGCAGTCTTGTGTTTTAAGGTCATGCTTTTGGGGAGACATTCTCAGGTCTT